GTATGTAGCATTATAGTGTTGCGTCTGTTTTTAAATGTGGTAAATTTTAGATTGTTTTTATTTCTCTTTTTAATATAGTTGACTTTGTAACGCGCTTCGAGCTTTTGGAGATGAAGGGTGTTTTTCAAATAAACTTTATTATTATTATTTATATTATTATTATTATATAAACTAAAAGAATTAGATAGGTATATAAAAGTTTATTTATATTTTATGTCATAAATATATTATAAATGATATATATATATATATATATATATATATATATATATATATATATATATATATATATACAAATATATACATATATATACATTTTATGGGCATATGATTCATTGTGATGATATGATTATGCATGATTCTGTTCATCAGGGCTTAGATAACATCAGCGACTACGCCATCAGCTTTCATTACGTTGAACCAACTCAGATGTACGCCCTGGAGTTTTTCACCTACCACTTACGGCCTTATGGGGTTCTCAACCTACCCATGGCCATCAACGCCAGGTCGACCCCTGATCAAACTTATCCAACTGGAGATGAGTAGTGCTAATATCTCATGCAGGATGAATCACTTTGCTGTTTAGGTGAAAAGTGCAAGAGTTACAAAAGAAACGTTTAAAAAAATGGCGTTGGAATGTCTTCTATATATAGTCCGACATGTTGCTTTATTTAATTGCCCTTTACGCATATAGTCCGACACGTTGCTTTATTTAATTGCTTGAACATAGTATTACTAAATATAACATGATGATATGATAATGAATGATTCACTTCATCTACGCATATAGTCCGATACGTTGCTTTATTTAATTGCCCTTTACGCATATAGTGCGACACGTTGCTTTATTTAATTGCCCTTTACGCATATAGTCCGAAACGTTGCTTTATTTAATTGCCCTTTAAGCAACTGATTCAACGCGGCTTTCCTCTGGGTATCCTGTGTTCTTCAAATATTTGAAGATAATTATGTAAACTTTAAACTCTTATCATCAGCTGTAACGTAGCCTTTTTTTTTTTTTTGTTGAAAAACTATTTTAATCAGGTAACCAGATCTTTTGGTAAGCGGAACAAAAGTTTCGAGTTTCAAAATAAATTTTGATTAGTTTTTGGATAATGGTGATTAAAAATAATTATGATCTAAAATTTATTTTTGTTCTTTAAATCCATGCATATCCTACTTTAATCTAATGAAATTTATATTACCCTTCCATTATGAAAAATGTGAACAAAGTTGCATGTTAAAAATAACTATATTATCTCACTTTAGAAAAGGCTCAATAGAATCTAAATGGCAATATGAGCTGAATCTTGTTATCAATGACGACTATGCCATCCGAGATGATTTCTAAAGTTAAGGTCCCTTCTATTGCACTTTATTATGCGATGTTTTATATATTAAAAACAGCAATATCGTTTATTTCTGCCTTATACACGTTTTCCCGTCGTCCCAATCAGGGTTTCTTTCAGCTATATATCGGGGGGAGGGGTGCAGTGCCTACCCCCCCCCCCNCCCCCCCGAAAATCTGAAGTGCCCCCCCCCCCCCGGGAAAAATTTCTGAAAGAAAAACTGGTCCCAATGTTTATGCATAACGTATCTGCATACAACATCTGGGCAGGAAAATCAATCCATCGACTTTGGGACTAAATCTAGTTTGCTGGTAGGAAGTTCAAGGTGTTTTAAACAAATCTCCCAATAAATCAAGTCTAGATAAAGATTTAGACCAACGGCTCAATATATTTTAAGGAGAATATTAGATTGTAAGGACAGCGTGCTAGAAACCAAGTGGCATCAAGAAGAGAAGAAACCGCTATTTGCATTGATCAGAATGATTGATAATCGATGCTACATGTTGTTTTTGAAGATATGGAATTCACGTAACATGTAAAATTTTAAGCGATTAGTTACTACTAGGCGACCCTCGTCGTAGCATACGCCGCGAGCTTGTTGGGGTGTGCGCATGGCTGGATATAGCCCGCCAAACATTGGCGACAGCAATGCGTGAACTTCCCATGTACTAAAGTCACTTGACAAAAACGTGAACTCAAGTTACGCACATTTAAGAATGGCAATTTTGCTACCCCCCTCCCCCCACCCCCTTTTTTTTCCATGATACGTCACTGCACACTTTTTTAGTTCACGCCCAGCATACGCCGTGAGCTTGGCTGGCAAGTGATTGTGCAGGAAAAAAGGGGGGGGGGGTAGCTCCACCCCAGTGCGCACGTTTCGATACCAACGATGAGCAGGCAAGGCAAGGGAAGGGAAGGGAGGGTATGGCTTCGTCGTCTTGGTTGCGTTGACGTATCTATATATAGCCTGCGTGGTCTTCTTGTTCGACCTTTGCTAGCGAATTATATACGTAGATTCCTTTAAATTTTCCAGTGTAATGAGATGATTATATGGTGTGTAAAGTTTATTTAGTGGATGATAAAAAGCATGTTTGACAAAACGACAACTGAGCTCATGCCCTACCTATTCCCTCATCGGGTTATACTTTTTTGTTTTTGTTTTCGTTTTTTGTTTTTCTTTATTTGTTCATTGTTGTTGTTTTTTTTGTTTTTTTTCAAATTTATTTACACTATAAAATGAAATGGATTTTGTACGAAGTCAAGTATTAAAATATTTCTACGTCCATAAAAACAATCTAAGAAAATTGAATAACATCTTTGTGTCCATTTTTGAAATTTGATTTTTTAGACAATATATGCAGATCTAACACAGACGAAAACAAAATAAACACTTTTAAAATCTAAATTACTAGATATTTACCTATTGTGTGTTTTTAACGTAAATTTACAGAGGTTTTTCAGGAAAGTGTGTGTTATAAAGTTTAATATAACAGTGTTTCCCAACATTTTTGGCCCACCTGAGCAACAAAGGAGATATCAAACCTAACCTCACCACAAACATATCCCGACTCTAATGTCTCCATAAAGACATTCGAAGTCTAATGTCTTCACAAAGACATCCCTAGTCTAATGTCTCTACAAAGACATTCCAAGTCTAATGTCTCCCCAAAGACATCACAAGTCTAATGACTTTACAAACACATCCTAAGTTTAATGTCTCCACAAACATATTCCAATGCTGATGTCTGCACAAACACATCCCAAGTCTAATCTCTCCACAAACATATTCCAATGCTAATGTCTGCACAAACACATCCCAAGTCTAATGTCTCCACAAACATATCCCAAATATAATATCTCCACAAAAACCTACCAAGTATTATGTCTCCACAAAGACATCTCAAGTCTAATGCCTTTACAAACACATCCAAAGTCTAATGTCTCCACAAACATATTCCAATGCTGATGTCTGCACAAACACATCCCAAATATAATATCTCCACAAAAACCTACCAAGTATTATGTCTCCACAAAGATATCCCAAGTCCATTGTCTTTACAAACAGATTCCAAGTCGAATGTCTCCAAAAAGACATGCCAAGTCTAATTTCTCCACAAACATATCCCAAGTCGAATGTCTCCACAAACACATCCCAAGTCTAATTTCTTTACAAACATATTCCAAGCCTAATTTCTCCACAAAGATATCCTAAGTCTGATGTCTCCACAAAGAAATGCCAAGTCTAATGTCTCCACAAACATATCCCAAGTCGAATGTCTCCACAAACACATCCCCAGTCGAATGTCTCCACAAACACATCCAAAGTCTAATGTCTCCACAAAGACATCACAAGTCGAATGTCTCCACAAAGAAATGCCACGTCTAATGTCTCCACAAAGAAATACCAAGTCTAATGTCTCCACAAGGAAATGCCAAGTCTAATGCCTCCACAAAGAGTGGGGCACTGAACAACCCCAACTAGTTGTATGTAACCTTAGACACTCTTACAGAGGGCACTGAACACCCCAACCAGTTGTATGTAACCTTAGAACTCTTACAGATGGCACTGAACAACCCCAACTAGTTGTAATGTAACCTTAGACACTCTTACAGATGGCACTGAACACCCCAGCCAGTTGTATGTAACCTTAGACACTCTTACAGATGGCACTGAACAACACCAACTAGTTGTATGAAACCTTAGACACTCTTACAGAGGACACTGAACACCCCAACCAGTTGTATGTAACCTAAGACACTCTTACAGAGGGCACTGAACAGCCCAACTAGTTGTATGTAACCTTAGACACTCTTACAGAGGAGACTGAACACCCCAACTAGTTGTATGTAACCTTAGACACTCTTACAGATGGCACTGAACACCCCAACTAGTTGTATGTAACCATAGACACTCTTACAGAGGGCACTGAACACCCCAACTAGTTGTATGTGACCTTAGACACTCTTACAGATGACACTGAACACCCCAACCAGTTGTATGTGAGCTTAAAACAATACGATGAAGGATACCAATTCTAGCACCGTAATATGACACAACTGCCGTGATGTGTATTAGCCCTAGGGTGATATGAATAAACTGTCGAGCTTTAGGCGATCCATATTTGTGCACATTATGGATGAGTCCCATCACTATCGTTCGTCGTTGAGCAAGTTTCCACCACCCACCAAAAACTATCATCTGTAGTCAGACTTTTTAACTCCACTCGCGTGGGAAATAGATGCCAAATTATAAGCTTGTTTGGCCTTATGTGTATCTCTTCAACATAAACACCGAATTTCGAAATATTCCGAAATATTGAACTGCTTTTAGTTCAGGCCAAAGCAAACAACATGCTTGTCAGCTATACTTTGCTCTTGTCCTGGAGCTTTTATTACACAAGGCGTCGTAGAAATGAGTACAACACCACCAATGTGACTTGTGAGATGGCACCAGACCTGTAAGCCCCATACACCATTATGACAGAAGCCATTGAGGAATTCAGTTCTCTCCAAGTTTGTATGTTCACAACAATGAGTGACATGAGTGATAAAGTCAGTAACAAACGTAAGAAACACCGTGTTTTCAAATGTTTATGATCACTCTAACGTATAGTTTTAACATGATTTATGTTTTCAAACTTTCCTTCCTATTAATATGCTGTTATATATAACCTAGCACAGCGTAGGGTTTGGCTTATTTTTTTAAAATTTAACATAGAGCTACTTTTAGCCACCACAACTTGTCTGCTAGGATGACCTTGATATTGACGTCACCGTGTAACTTTGTTGTGTCACCCCTTCCCTTCCCACCCCTTTTTTTGGTTTGGGGAATTGTGTATTTATATTCTAACGCGTGTTCCATTTCTTAAAAAAAATACCATTAGATGACGCAATTGCTAGATTTTCTTTACTAGAACGTTAGGATTTGATTCCTATATTAATGTTGCCAGGTTTCATAGCAGATACACATAGTGAGACAATAGATAGTATTGCTTCTCCTACGAGCCAAACATTAAAAGCAAATAGTACAAAATAAATAATGGGCTGGTCCACTGTATTAAACAGAAAATCGCCCCTCTCCCCCATAGACAGCGACGAGGCCATCACAGGCAATGCCGCCTCATTCCAGCAAGAAGCCAGTATAGGAGCTGCTCATTCCTG